CGTAAACAACCATGGGATACAATCTTTTTCATTTTTCCAGCATATTTTTAGTTTTTCCGAATTTATGTTATGGTGGTAGGAAGCTGTGAATGAGGTTGTGGACAAGGTTTTGTCGGAACCAATCCGACCTCATTTTGCACTGGCCTCTATTGGCCCCTCCTTTGTTTTGCAAGAAGCTCTGGTATTGGTAAGATTCCTCGTTTTCCTTGTATATGTACATCTATATCAGGTTGTGTTAAATAAGATAATTATTATTTGCAGATTGAAAGAAATTTGTGTTCCAAGATTCCTATTATTGTCAGTGTGGCTGAGGGAGTCATTGGCAAAGATGTGCTCACAGATAAGTTTGTAGAGGTAATATCTTATGTTAATTTGTAGATATTGAATGGTTCTTTTTTCCGAGTTTTGCGAATACTTATCTTAATGATCTGAGTTATTGGTCTAGGTACAATGGACTGAGCATACCGTGACATGTGGCATTATTTTGACAGTTGGATTTTTGCCAGGAGTGACGGTCCATTTATGTCTTATATTCCAACATCAGGTAAACGTGATTTCATTTCAATGTATGAATTGAATATAGTGGAGAAACTACATCCTCTCCATCAACTTTAACGAAGGACTTTTTTCTTTGTGCAGATTGTACCGATTGATAAAACTAATTTTTTCTATGTGCGATTGATCAATCAGTAGTTGAATACTGTTTTAGATATTGACTTGTGGCTTTGAAATATCAGGTACCTCAAGGCATTGAAATGATTTTCAAGCTACATCATTTGATTCACATTCTTCATCTCCTGTCGGACTTAAGTTGAATATTCTTGTTTATTTTTTTTCTCCCTTTTCCTCTGACAAATTTTATTGTGCTGATGTCTTATTATCTTCTGAGTTGAGTTCCTTGGACTCTTTCTTAGTTTTGAAAATTGTAGTTCCCTTCAACAATCGGTTAAGCAAAAACTACTCTCTTGTTGTAATTTGGTTGGATTAAAAGTTTGTTGAGTGTTTCTTACTTTGTCCACTATTGTCCCAAAAGAAAAAAAAAACGATAAAAAAAGTACTCTTAAGGTGTGCATTGGACTTCAGATATTGGGGGGAAGGCTGAAAATTTTTGTTATATTTTAGGGTTTTAGACACTTGTTACATATTTTAGTAGGTTTCTTTGTTCAAGTTGTTTCTTATATATGAACTGAATGATATGCTAGGGCCAGAAAGCAGACTTCAGACATACTGTTCAAGAAATTGGTAAGTAAACTATGTTTAGACATTGTTATGGCACACACATTAAATTAAGTTTAAATTAAGAAAAAGAACTTGCTTTTTATCTGTCTTTGACACTTGTCTGTTGGTATTTTTCCTTAGACTTAGTCTTTCCCGAGGATGGTTTCATTGTGGGTGATGGAGGTAGCAGTAATTTCATAGTTCGATATCAAAATACTACCACGCTTGCAGGTTTGGCTGGAGTTTCCCTATTATTCACAAGGGACATAAACAAGCCTTCAGGTAAGTCATCTTTTCCTATCGATTGCATGAGAAAAAAATCTATTCAGATGGAGTTTAATATTTTTTTTATTTTTTTGAAATACAGATGGAGTGTAATTTACAAGATCAATATTTTTTTTATCTTTACTTATTTATTTGCGTATAGGTGTTGGAGAAACTGAGTTTCATGTCATGTTCTCAACTGGTGTATCACTAGTTGGTCCCACGTACGAGGCAAATATTATTAGAGATGAAGAAAGTGTAATGCATATTGTCACGGACTTGTTCCCTTAACAAAGAACCGCGCGGCCTTAGCTCCTTCTCGCCCCTCGCGATAGCTAAGTCAGCCTCTCCCGAAATGTGTTGCGAATGCTAAGTGATGGAAACGAAGAAAGAAGTTAAGCAGATAAGAGAGTTTGTAAGAAGGTACTTTATTGCTTAAGTGTTTGTTGGATTTCTTGGATGATTACAAATGAGGATCCTACCTCTATTTATACTAGTCCACCTCCTCAATGGACGGTGGAGATTTATTTGATCTAACGGTTGGGAGTGGTTCTCTAGAACACTCCAAAGAATTCCTATAATATCTCTACCTACCTCTACCTACCTCTATACATTTGGGCCAACTTGGGCCTAACCGTATTTGGGCAAAATCTTGGACTTTTTAACCTCCCCAACCCAAGGGAAATTGGCAAGGGGTTGGGCCAAAACTAGCGGGCCGTGACATCCTCCCCCGCCTAATCCGGCGACATCCTCGTTGCCTCGAACAAGTGGAGACGATCTTGAAATTGCCACAAGTCTTCCTTCGTCTCCCACGTTGCCTCGGACTCGGATAATCCCTTTCATTTGATGAGATATTGAATACTCGGTGGAACTCCCCTACGTCGCTTCAATTGTCGGCTGAGCACTTCCTCGATCTCCTTATCGTATGACTTAGTCATGATGGGTTGTGCTCGGTGCGACTCTCCTCGGCTCGGGTCTTTCTTGTCTTTGTGATAAGGCTTCAACATACTCACATGGAAGACCAGGTGGATTTTCAAAGAACTTGGAAGTTCTAGGCGATACGAAACTTTACCGACCTTGGCGATCATCGGGAATGGTCCTTCATACCTTCGCACAAGTCCCTTGTGCATGCTCCGCAATGCCTTGAATTCTTGGGGCAATAGTTTTACCATCACTTGGGCCCCAACGTTGAACCCTCGTGGTCGCCGTTTGTCGTCCGCCCATTTCTTCATTTTTCGCCTAGCCTTCTCAAGGCACGCCCGGGCTAAATCGGCTTGTTCCTCCCATGACTTAGCCATTTTCAATGCTCCGGGACTCCGTCCCTCGGTTGCCGTAGCCAAAGTGTGTGGCGTAAGTGGTTGTTGTCCCGTTGCAAGCTCGAATGGACTCCTCCCCTTGGCTTCACTCCGCTGCAGGTTGTAAGAAAATTGAGCCACTCCCAATGCTCCGAGGATTTTTGCCCAATCCTTTTGATTGGCTCCAACGAAGTGCCGTAAGTAGCACTCGAGTAGGGCGTTCACCCTCTCCATTTGCCCGTCAGTTTGGGGGTGAAAAATCGTCGAGAAGCAAGGCTCGGACCCCAAAAGTTTGAAAAGCTCTGTCCATAATCGCCCCGTGAAGCGTGGGTCTCGGTCGCTTATGATGCTCCTCGGTAGTCCCCAATACTTGACGACGTTCGGGCAAGCTATGAACGTCCCATATTTTGAAAAACGATCTGTCACCACCATGATAGATCCGGCCCCCTCGGACGTCGGCAAGGCACTAATGAAGTCCATTGAGATTGACTCCCATGGTCGCTCGGGGATTGGGAGTTGCTCAAGTAACCCTGTTGGTTGTTTGTTCTCCACCTTGTCTTGTTGGCACACAAGGCCAGTCTTCACATATGCGTCGACACTGTCCCGCATGTGAAGCCAAAAGTAGGCCGTCTCGAGCAACGCCATTGTCCGCCTTTGGCCTGGATGCCCCGCCCACTTTGTGTCGTGGCATTCCCTTATGAGGTTCTTCCTCAAGTTATCCCACTTCGGAACGAAGAGTCGATGTCCCTTCGTGTAGAATAGGCCATCCTCTACCCAAAATTGCCTCGTCTTGTCCTCCTTGACGAGTCGAATTAGCTCCTTGGCCATTGGATCATGTTCGAGCCCTTCTCGGATCATGTCAGCCAAATTCCCCCGTGTCGAGCTAATGGCTGCGAGTTCAGCCTTTCTACTCAAAGCATCGGCCACAACGTTTGCCTTCCCCGGTTTATACTCCAAAACGTAGTCGAACTCCGTTAGAAAGTCTTGCCACCGTGCTTGCTTTGGCGAGAGTTTCTTCTGCGTTTGGAAGTAACTCGTGGCAACGTTGTCGGTCTTGACCACGAACGGTGCTCCTAATAGGTAGTGTCGCCACACTCGAAGGCAATGGATGATGACGGTCATCTCCTTCTCTTGGACCGTGTAGCGCCGTTCCATCTCGTTGAGTTTTCGGCTCTCGAAGGCGATCAGATGCCCCTCTTGCATCAAGACCCCTCCAATTGCAAAGTCGGAAGCGTCCGTGTGCAACTCGAACGACTTCCCAAAGTCCGGTAAGGCGAGGACCGGCTCTTGGCTCACCGCTACCTTTAAGTCCTCGAACGTTCGTTGGCATGAGTCGGACCACTCCCACGTCTTGTTCTTCTTGAGTAAGTCGGTTAGTGGCGCCGCTCGTGCCGAGTACCCTTTTATGAACCGCCGGTAATAATTGATTAGACCAAGAAAAGATCGTAACTCGGTTACCTTAGTCGGCGGTTCCCACTCGGTGATAGCCTTGATCTTCGCTCCATCCATTTGGAGTCGCCCATGCCCGATAATATGCCCCAAAAATTTGACCTCCTCCTTGGCAAACTCGCACTTCTCTTTCTTCACGAACAACTCGTTTTGCCGAAGTACTTGGAAGACGGTGCGAAGGTGGTTGGCATGCTCCTCCATGGTATCGCTTTAAACAACGATGTCGTCCAAGTAGACCACCACGAACCGATCTAAGTATGGATGGAAAATCTTGTTCATGAGAGTGCAAAATGTTGTCGGGGCATTGGTTAACCCGAACGGCATGACAAGCCATTCGTAAGAGCCGTATCGAGTGATGCACGTTGTCTTTGGCTCGTCCCCTTCGGCAATGCGGACTTGGTAGTAGCCCTTTTGCATGTCCATCTTCGTATATATCTTGGCTTTACCAAGTCTATCGAACAAATCGGCTATCAAGGGAACGGGGTACTTATTCTTAACGGTTACCTTGTTTAGTGCCCAGTAGTCCACGCACATCCTCAAAGAACCATCGTGCTTCTTTTGGAATATGACCGGTGCGCCGTAAGATGCCTTCGATGGTCGGATCTTCCCCGTCTCGACCAACTCGTTAAGTTGCTTTCGGAGCTCCTCAAGCTCCGGTGGTGACATGCGGTAGGGAGCCATGGCGGGTGGCTTGGCTCCCGGCTCCAACTCGATGGCATGATTCACCTCCCTCCTAGGTGGAAGCTTGTTGGAAAAATTCAGTGGCATCACGTCTTGGTTGGCCTCCAAGACGGTTTAGATGATCGGTGGCACGTCCTCCTCTTTGTCGACGGGTGGGTTGTCCTCCTTTAAAGCGGCTAAAAATGTTGGCTCGCCCCGTCGAACTCCCTTGGCAACTTGCATGGCCGACAGTTGCCTTGGTTGCGTGCTTGCTTCCTTAGTGGTGCCGTTGGTGGCTGGCACCATGCAAGGTGTCCCCTTCTCTAAGATACAAACTGAATTAAAACAAGGCATCGGGATAGCCATTACCTTGCAGAAGAGATCCATGCCTAGCACCACCTTGAAGTCATCCATCGGTGCTACCGAAAAATCCACTTGGCCCTTCCAAATGCCTAAGTGTAGCTCCGCGTCTCGTGCTACACCGTTGAGCGGTTGTGTCTTAGCGTTGACGGCCTTGAGCCAACCGTCTCGTCTGGTCCACCGTAGGCCAACCCTCTTGGCCTCGTCCTCGGTAATAAAGTTGTGGGTCGCTCCCGTTTCTACCATCACCTTTGATGGGGTACCGTTGATGCGGGCCTCCACGTACATCAGCCCCTTGCTTGATGTTGCCGGCACCGGATTAGCCTTTAAGGCGTTCAGAAGTTGGAGCGATCCCATGTTGCCTAGCCCCTCGTTTGTGCCTTGCTCGGCCTCTTGTTGTAAGAGTGCCGACAATGACCCCATCTTGGGACATTGACTCATCGCGTGCGGCCCCTTGCACACGAAGCATCCTCCCTTAGGCACAAACGACTTCTTCTTCTCTTCAAGTTGTTGGCGTGAGGATGGCTTGTCTCCTCCCCTCGAGGTTGACGCTCGCCGTGGGTCTCGGTTATCTCGATGGTCCCAACCATGATTGTCCCGTCTCTCTCCTCCGCCTTTAGTCGGGTTCCACTTCTCTTTCCGCAACGAATCTCTCGGTTGATACTCGGTTAAAGACTCGGCGGCGGCAATAGCTTCATCGACGGATTTGATGTCTCGTCGGTGGAGTTCTTGCTTGGCCCCGCCTTGTAACCCATCGGTGAAGTGGAAAAGGAGATCCTCCTCGGAAAGGTTGGGAATTTGAAGGGTGAGGGTGGTGAACTCCTTCACGTACTCGCGGATTGAACTTCGTTGCTTGAGTTCCCTCAACCTCCTTCGAGCCTCATAAACGACGTTCTCCGGGTAGAAGTGTCGCTTGAGTTCCCTCTTGAACTCTTCCCAAGTATCGATTCGGCAAATGCCTTTCTCGATATCGGCGTGCTTTCTACGCCACCATAACATTGCCGTATCGGAAAGATGAAGGGAAGCAGTTCTTACCTTAGTCGTCTCGTCGACTATACCGATACCCTCGAAATATTGCTCCATCCTCCATAGGAAGTTCTCAACTTCCTTGGCGTCCCTTCCGCCGTTGAATCCCGTTGGCTTCGGGCAGTCCACCCTTGGACTCGGAGTAGCACCAACGCTACCGTTAGCGGCGGCCTTTTTGCACAAGGCCAAGTCGTCGTGCATCCCCTCGATGCTCTCTTGGAGGGATTGGATGATGGCCTCCAATCGATCCAACTGTTCCTCCCGCAACGTCTCATTGTCTCTAAACAAATCGAGTTGCTCGGCGACGTGATTCTCCAACACTTTCCGTATCGTGCTCGAGCTTCTCGAATCATTCGCTAAGCTCCGCTATGGCGATGTTATTCTCGAGCCTCTCGAGTCTTTCGCCATGATCCGTTAGCACGGCCTCATTAACGGTACTCTCCACACGAGCCTTGCTGTGATCCCTCTTCTTCTTGTTGTTTACTTGGGCCTCCCTGCCACGTCCCTCGGTTATGTACGAAATATCTTCAACGTTCGCCATCGTTGAGAATTCGATCAACACAAAGCCCTTAGCCGGGCTCTGATACCACTTGTCACGGACTTGTTCCCTTAACAAAGAACCGCGCGGCCTTAGCTCCTTCTCGCCCCTCGCGATAGCTAAGTCATCCTCTCCCGAAATGTGTTGCGAATGCTAAGCGATGGAAACGAAGAAAGAAGTTAAGAAGATAAGAGAGTTTGTAAGAAGGTACTTTATTGCTTAAGTGCTTGTTGGATTTCTTGGATGATTACAAATGAGGATCCTACCTCTATTTATACTAGTCCATTTCCTCAATGGACGGTGGAGATCTATTTGATCTAACGGTTGGGAGTGGTTCTCTAGAACACTCCAAAGAATTCCTAAAATATCTCTACCTACCTCTACCTACCTCTATACATTTGGGCCAACTTGGGCTTAACCCTATTAAGGCTAAATCTTGGACTTTTTAACCTCCCCAACCCAAGGGAAATTGGCAAGGGGTTGGGCCAAAACTAGCGGGCCGTGACAATATGCTCACTGCAACCAGAGAAACAGTTCCGCATGATCTTGGAGGTTATGCTATTCTAGATGATTTACGCAATCAGATATCTATAATTGACATTCAAAATTTTAATCATAATTTATTCTTTTACCGTTTCATCTCTAACAAGAATAGTTGAGACAGGTTGGAGAAATTATTCAATTTCCTGTTGCACCTCTCTATGTTGGAGTAATAAGAAGTAGAGGAGCTACATATGGAGTGGAAATAGCACCACCGATGCGATTTCACGGGCTCCATAAATTTTTGGAGTAAGTTTTATTTTGTTCTGCTCGACTCATTTATTTACAAATTCTCTTTCTTGATGAGGCGAAAATTTCTTGCCTTATTCGTCTTTGTAACTGTCCAGAGAATGAGCAACTTTTTTTTTTCTTTTCTTTTTGGCCTTTCAGATGCGAAGAAGAGTACCTAGGTGTGAATGATGGTATTAGATCTGGAGCAAAATTCTGTTTCTACATCCCCGATTCACAAGCTGCTTTGTCATCTAGGAAAAGTGTTTATGATAAGCTGATGCATCTAAAGTTGGATTGTGAGAAAAGTGTAAGTAGTAATAATGAAAAAGTACAAGTCTTTGGTGGAATTATATTCTGCTGCCGTGGGCGTGATAGCTCCTTTTACAAAGAACCTAGTACAGATATCTCCCCTTTTATGGATAACTTTCCCAGTGTTACTTTTGGGGGAACATATTGTTCTGCGGAAATTGCTCATGGGAATTTCGGCTATTTGTATGACCTATCTAATGAAGAAGACAACTCTGTACACTACAATCTTCATTCCTACAGCGCGGTTTACCTGGTTATGTCGTACCGTAGTCCAATACGGAAAATTAGTACGACTTTATCAGGTGGTCTTAAAGATTGTTCAGGTGCAGATGTAGTGAAGCTTCAAGATTAGTGATGATGGATGGCCTCTTGTAAATTCTTTCTGAACAATGTGGGCTTTGCTATAAAGTACAAAATACTTCCTATTATGCATGTGCAGTTTCTACTGCCTTTTTGAAATAATTTCGTCTTCTTATTTTTTGAATTGCGTTGAGTTTCATTGACGGTATTACGGTTGTTTTTATTACTTTTAGTAATCAATTTCATTATTTGACAATGATTTTAGTAGTCTGTTCCTTAATCTACTATGCCTTAGTTGATAATCGATTAACTCACCTGACAACAGAAAAAAAAAAAAAGTTATAATATCGAAAAATAAAATAAGTAAATAAACATAATAAAAAATAGTAATAATAAAATAAAAATTAGAAAACGAAAATTAATTTGAAAAAGGAAAAGAAATGAGAAATGGGAAGGGAGAAGTAGGAATAACACAGTAGAAATAGCAATTTTGAAATTATAAAGAAGGAGAAATGAGTATTCATTTACCTCCAAAAGTGAAATATGGATTGAACCTCTCTCTATCAATGAAAGGTTTGAAAGGGGTTTTCCCAAAAAAAAAAACATTTTTTTTTGTATAATTAATTCCGAGCAAATCAACAAACAAATAGGATTAAAGATTAGGTTGAAATTAAACTTTAAAGGAGGTTTGAATAATTTCTCAATTTTGAGGGACCAAGTTGTAACTAAACATTATTTGGAAGAAGGTTGGTGTAATTTACCCAAGAAATAAATTAATTATTTACTGCGTTTTCAACATATTTAACTGCAATTACACTTTAATTTAGGGTAGTTGTAATTTACACTTATATTATCTCCCTAAGAACCCCCCCCCCCCCCCAAAAAAAAGGGCTTATTTTATATGCCCCTAGATACTAAATAAACTAGGAATAAACCCAAGCCGGATTTTTCCTTTGACATACTCCTGAAGAGTCGAAAGTACTATACTACCCTTATATGCAATTTTCGTCCAAACTGCATTCAGCATTTCTGATCTTGCATTTAGCATTTTCGCTGATTTATTTACTATTATTTTTTAACATTTTTTTTAATTTATATATTATTCTGTTAATTTTGTTATTAATTTTTTTATTTAATTTTTATTTACTTTTTTTAATTTTTTTTTTATTTCTTTTTGTAAAATCAATATGTTTACTTTACTGAAAATAACTACATATAACTGTAGTAAACTATAATCATTCCTAGTTATGTTCTTTTTCTTATATTACCCCATATTTTTAGTCGATCAATTATTTACACACACGAATATTGGCTTATACAAAAGAAATTCATAAACCCCAACAACAAAAAATTACAAATTTTAATATTTATATTATAAATTACATCTGAATAAATAAAATACAAATCGAAAATACACAAAATATATGCATAAGTAACTACATGTCACTATAGTAAACTGATACGAACCAGCCAAGTACGCAAGCTAGTGCCGAGCTAGATGAAGGAGTTGATGACTTGGACGAGTTGCATGTGCCAAGAGGACCGATTACGCAAGCTCGGGCCAAGCGCATTGAAGCAGCCATACTTAACTTAGTGGAACACGAGCTCCAAAAGGAAGAATTTACGAAGTCTAGTTCAATCCTAGCTGAGCTTAATTGGAGCGAATTATCGGGCCAGGTTGTGAAGCAAGCCGAGCTCTAGGACTTGAGCCCCTCTAGTCATCCAGCCGAGAAGACGTGACTTGGAAAAGATGATTGTTATTTATTTTCGTATTTTATTATTGAACTATTTATTTCTTGCTATTTAGAGTCCGATTTCGTCTAAATTTAGTTTATTTGGTTATTTCCTTATGATAGATAAGTTAAGATTTATTTTCCTTGTTATATTAGATCTCTTTGACACTTATAAATACGTTGTTTTAGGGTCATTATTATTTGGACATTTTAAAGTATTATTTTGAGAGATTACAATTCTCCTTCGTTGTTCTTCAACAACTCTTCGGGATATTTTGCGAGTGGATTCTTTTGAATTATTCTTAGCAATATAAACACTAACTATCGACCAAATTAAACCCTAGCTGCCATAGCCGTCGATCAAATTAAACCCTACCCTACCTCCAAAAATCTAGTCGTCTACCAACCCTAGGCGCCTACCAAATTAAACCCCAGCCATCAACCAAATTAAACCCTAGCCGCCATAGCCGTCGACCAAATTAAACCCTAGCTGTCGACCAAATTAAAACCTAACCGCCACCATCTGGCGTAGATCTGACCAAATTAAACCCTAGCCATCGACCAAATTAAACCGTAGCCGTCGACCAAATTAAAACCTAGCCGCCATAGCCCTCCACCATCCGCCGTAGATCTGACCTCCACCACCATAGTCGTCGTCGCCTCCTCCCTCCATAACCATCCCCTTTTTAACGCCGCCTCCACCGCCATAGTTGCGCATAGCCATCGCCCCCTCATCAATGGTGAGAAGTGATGGAGAGGGAGAGCGAGAGAGGGTGACCGAGAGAGAGAGAGAGAGAACGAGAAAGGGAGAGCGAGAGAGGGAGAACGAGAGAGAGAGTGAACGAGCGAGAGAAATAGAAGAGGGAAGAAAATAAGAAAAATAGATCTGAAAGAAACGTGTAGAATTTATGGATTTAGGTTGAGGGAAAATTTGGGATTAAAAAAAAGGTAAATGATGTGGGTCATATTTATTTTTGTAAAAATGTTTTAGTTTAGAAAAAAAAATTAGGGTTGTATCCCATATCTAATTACGTTTCCAAATAGGGACCTCTAGCATATTAACCCTATATTTTAAGTGTTATATTTCAACGCCCATTTTAAGTGTTAGTTAAATAATTAAAGATTGTGAATATAGAGTTGGGAACTTTTACAATTGTACTATGATTTTATTTTACAAAAATGATTTTGCCACTTCATCATCTTGGTGTTTCAAATTTGACAAGCTGAATTTATAATATGCCATGTAGTCTATAATATAAAAGAGTTGTTGGAGCTCCAATTTTAAGTAAAAGTTGTAAAATTTGCTGAAATTTAGCATATAGTACAACTGGTGGAGTTACTCTAATATCATTGTCAACCACATCAATATTAATTCTTTTAGCTTTTTATTATGTTAAAATTTGTTGAACGGTCAACATATTAATATTACTCTATTGCACAATAATAATGACTTTTGTTGTGTTAAAATTACTGTGGTGGAGATTAATATAGCAATATTATTGTGTTAAACTTTAGTATTGTTAATAATACTTTGTTTAACAGTAATATAGTTAATATGATTGTCAACCACAAAAATTTTGTTGTTGAAACAGGGCAAAAAGATGTAAACGAAAGGAAAAAAAAAGGTCAACACCGGAGATCGGCAGTCAACAGCCGCGACGGGCGAAATTGTACTGAAAATTGAGTTTTGGGTCAAAGTTGAATAATTTGTGAAATTTGGGGTCAAAATTGAGGTTAAATTAAATAAAAGGATGAAATTGGAGCATATTAAAATGTGAGGGTTTAGTCTTTTACACATCTCTGGACAATGTGTGAATTTTTTTGTAATTTTTTTCTTGTCTGAACCCCTTTATGAAGAAGTATCCTATGATGGCCTTATTTGTAATATGCCCTAGAATAATTTTTTTATAAATTAAAGGGCTTATTTTATATGGGGTATTAGTCCCTCTAACCTTTTTTTAAAATGGGTTTATGAGGCATAACTCCCCATTACAAAAATATTAGGACTAACCACCTCTCATTATTTTAAATGGGTCAAACCCCCCTCACATTTACCAATTACTAAACTACCCCCATATTTCTAATAGCAATGACCCCCTACCATTTTCCCCTAAGTCAGCAAATCTTCAACCATTTCTTCAATGTAACATCTCCCCAAATTTCCACTAGTTTGCTATATTTCTTCCAAGAAAATCGCAAAAAAAAAATTTGTAAAATATATAAGATCCTTTCCCGATTCCAACAATACCCTAGATTGCTACATGTGTTCACAAAACAAAAAAACTGACATTTGTGTGAATTGCAGAGAAATACAGGCGGACAACAATGGTGAAAGCTAGCAAACCGAAGACATGTAGTTTCATATACATTTATGGCTTCCCTACATTTCTATTAACCTAATTTATGTAGTTTTACGACATAATTTATGTTTTTCACCCTTCTCAGCGACATTGAAGGACAAATCGAAGTCTCATATAGAAACCCTATGCAACAGTAAGCCTGAAATCGACGATCGATTTCACTTAGATTTGTTGCAAATTTGATAGTTGTTCGACTAATTATGTTAGTTTTCATATATGAATCACTGAGTTTTCCCTAATTTCAGTGATGCTGAAATCAAAGAAATGCGACGACCATATGCGACTGTTCGGAATTCTTCCATGGTTGATTACTCAAGAATGGAGTTTATAACCAAGCTTGTTTTTTAAATCTACAAATCCATGGTCGCACTATTTGTTGACTCGTAAATATTTTTTCCTATAAAATTTGTTTTATCAGAGTCCACAACAAAGAAGAGATCATTGTTGTGACGAAAAGTATAAAATATTGTAGTCATCTACACCCAAGGTCAACTATAAAAACTAGGTAGTTCACTATATTCTTCCTAAAGTCAACTATAAAAATTAGATAGTCAATTATAAGTTTAACGATGTCAACTATAAAAAATTGGTAGTCAACTATAAAACAATGGGTTGTTAACTATATTGCTGCCAGAGTCATCTACAAAAATTAGATAGTCAACAATAATTGTTCCTATGTCTACTATAAAAAAATTGGTAGTCAACTATAATTTTTTCACTAATTCACTATATTATTTTTCAATATTAGATACTATGGTGTTATAAATACTGACGATCAAAATCTCATCTCCGGTGAAAACATGAGTTTCATAGAGTAGAAAATAGATTGATTTCAACGACAAAAAAATGAGATGTAGAAGAAAAAGTTAAGCAGTGAAAAGAAATAGAGAAAAAAAGAGAAAAAAAAAAGAAAGAAAGAGACGAGAAGACAGTAAATGGGGGAAGAGAGAGAGAGAGAGAGAGAGAGAGAGAGAGATGGGAATAAAAGAAAAACAAGTCAAAGTGAGGGAAAAAAAGGAAGAGATCGAAATGAATGGAGAATATAAAATGAAGGATAAGAGAGAAATAAAGAGAGGAGAGAGAAAGCAGGAGAGAAATATGGACAAAAAAGGGCATAATGGGCATTAACATAAGATTAAGAGGGTCACACAATTCAAAAAATATGATATGAGTTTGTTTACAAATGGTCAATTATAAATTGGGCTCAAGCTCCATTATTTTACCTTATGAACAGGTTATCCCTCATTTTCCC